CTGGATGAGACCTATCACTGAAGCAAGAGGGCTTTAGGTTACCTCTGAGGAAGAAAGGGACCATTTCAGGAAACAGACAGTGATGCCCCTTGGACACTGAGGGACTCCCTGAGGGACTTATGAAAGGTGGGTGACACTACAAACCAAAGACTATTTATTCCTTTCTTTAATGCAGTAGGCGGCACATTTAAAAAGGAGTCAGGAATCAAGAAAACTAAAAGTCTATGTGCTTTTAGGCAAGTGCTTTGGTCTATGGTATTCAAAACACTTTAGCACCATAACCAACATGGTCCTCACAAATATACAAACCCATGGGACTTCCCTGGTGGCGCAGTGATTAAGAATCTGCCTGCCAATGCAGGGGACACGGGTTTGAACCCTGGTCCGGGAAGATCGCACATGCCACAGAGCCACTAAGCTCGTGCGCCATGACTACTGAGCCTGCGCTCTAAACCCTGCGAGCTGCAACTACTGAGCCCTGATTTCCAGGAGCTGACCGGGCACCACAGTTGGCCTTATGTCTCTGCTGAACATTAACTATTTTATAGGATGTCAGTATCAGACAAAGTCATTCTGTGCCCATGATGGGTTAAGACAAAAAGTGGGACTTGCCTGGTGGCACAGTGGTTAAGAATCTGCCTGCCAATGCAGGGGACACGGGTTCGAGCCCTGGTCTGGGAAGATCCCACATGCCGTGCAGCAACTAAGTCTGTGCTCCACAACTACTGAGCCTGCACTCTAGAGCCCATGAGCCACAGCTACTGAACCCGCGCGCCTAGAGGCCGTGCTCTGCAGCAAGAGAAGCCACCGCAATGAGAAGCCCGTGCACCACAACGAAGAGTAGCCCCTGCTCACCTCAACTAGAGAAAGCCCGCATGCCGCAGTGAAGACCCAACACAGCTATAACTAACTAACTAACTAACTAAATAAATAAATGGACACCCTGTAATCATGGTTGAACACAGACAAAACAAGCTAAGTTAACAAGCCACCAAAATGACCAAGCATCTCCCTATTCTGCCTCATATGAGTGACTGATGCTGCTTTACCAAATACAGCTCTAAACTCTATCTTGTCCTCTCTTCTTAGAGCTAAGATTAAGATACATAGTCAGAGAACTGCCCCACTTCCTGACAGCATCCATCCAGAGCAGAGCCAGCTTCCTGAAACCTTCCCCAAATCACCCAACCATAGCACATTTCTTTAGGTCTTTTCTAACATCCTCTTAATGAGATGCTAGGTGGTTCCCCAAGGTGTGTGTTCTCCTTGCTGTAGTGAGTAATAAACCCAACTGGTTCAACCAGGAACAGGAGTGTTTCTGGAGGTGTGTGGCTAGAGACGTTGACAGGTAGAATCATTAGCCTTATTTTGTAAAAAAGGAAAAAGAAACTCAGAGGTTTGGAGAGATATTCCCAAGACTATATAAGGTAGTAAGTGACAGAACCAGCTCTTTCTATTTTCTCATATTTAAAGACCCTGCTGTGTGAGTCTCTATGCATCTGTAGTGATGCAGTTAGACACTGTTCTCCAAAGGTCTCTCCAGCTCACGTCTTCCTAGAGGCAGGGGCATGAAAACATTGTCAAAGTGGCTTGGCTTGGGAGAGCTGGGACCTCCTTTTGACTGAGAACCCAGTGGATTCTAAACAAGTCATTCCCACAACGCCTTGCAGCGGGGAAGGTCTAATAATGAACTTGAAGTGGGGTGCATCCTGGGAGATACCTCCATAAGCCTTGGATTCCTGCCCCACCTACATCCTACCCGCTCCTCTCAGCCAACCTCACTTAGGTGTTCATATTTCTACAGTATCTGATTGCCACAGCTCTTGACCTACTGGGAAAAGCAAGACTGGAGGGTGGGGCTTCCCTGGTGGCGCAGTGGTTAAGAACCCGCCTGTCAATGCAGGGGACGCGTGTCCGCGCCCTGGTCCGGGAAGATCCCACATGCCGCGGAGCGACTAAGCCCGTGCACCACAACTACTGAGCCTGCGCTCTAGAGCCCGTGCTCTGCAACAAGAGAAGCCACCGCAATGAGTAGCCCCCGCGCACCGCAACGAAGAGTATAGCCCCCGCTCACCGCAACTAGAGAAAGCCCGCGCGCAGCAACAGAGACCCAACGCGGACAAAAATAAATTAATTAAATAAATTACAAAAAAAAGACTGGAGGGTGACCCGGGAGCTGTGATCCTACTGACCATCCTCTTATTCTTCCACTAACCTCATCTCCAGCCCAGTGAGGGGGCACCTCAGGAAGGTGCCAACCATCCTAGCAGCATAAATTGTAGGGAGCTCTAAAGAGTCATTCCCTTAACTCTGAGTCCTGAGAATCTGAAAGATGGTGAAAGGGACTTAGCAAATGTTAAGAAACTAAAAGAGACTTGGGTGGTGGTGGAGGGGTACTTCCCTGACGGCCATCTCCCAATGTCTGTAGAACTAACAAAGACAGCAGAATTTGTCTGTAGGGTTCTTAGGAGCAGAGTCAGGACCAATGCGGAAACACAGGGCCAGAGAGGAGGGGGACTCTTATAGGCTCAATAGGACAGAAGAGTGTTCTATTCACCAATACTACCAGCTGGTACCTGCTGCCCAAGAGAACGTGAGCTCCCCCTAGCAGGAGGTAAAAAACACTGAGGCTGGTTGACTAGCTACCTTCTATGAAAATTTAACATTTAATTATTCAGAAGCCTTCTCCAGTGTTTTTCCAAAACCTAATTTCTCTTCCACTGGTACCTCTACACACCCACATGGCTCAGCTCTAATGGGTCTGTTTCTTAGAGATGACAAAAGCGGCTGCCTCACTCCCCTCAGAAGCTGGGACTAGCAGGAGGGAGCGGAAAACTCAAGCTGTGGAACCAGGGCTCTCATGCAAATACAGTGGTTCCCCCACCCCTCCTAGGGAACTTCTGTTCCCCTACTCTGTACAGGGGGACTCCCAGGTTCATCGTGTTCAGGGTTGGGTGGACTTCGAGGAACAAGTTGGGGTCTCCTCGTGATGCTCAAAGGCTACTTGGAAACCAACACAGACTCCGACCTGGGACATGGACGGATGTAGCATCTCTGTTCTCATCTCTGCCTCTTTGTCTTGCCCCAAAGCTCCTGTTTGCCCTCTTCTCTCTACCTGACAGAATCCAACTCACCCTTCCAAACTCAGCTCAGACATCGTCTCTTCAGGGAAGCTGGCCTTGACCTCTTCAGAGAGGCTGGCCTTGACCTCTTCTCGGAGGCTGGCCTTGACCTCTTCAGGTGACAGCCAGAGCCTCCACCTTGGCTCCCACAGTAGCCCCAGGAAACTAATCTTCCAGCTAACTGACATCTCCATGCTCCCATTTCCTCCCTCTCAGTATCATTAGGAAAATACAAACAAATAATTTGGGGAAAATGACAAGCGCAGAGCCTGGCACATGGCCAGTCTCACAAAAAAGGGTAGTTGTCCTTCTTTAACAGAAGTAAGAAGCCCCCTCTCCATACAGATGACCTTGCGGAAGGGTGTTCCTTGGAAAAATGGACAATTGAACCTCATGCTTCTTCTTTTGTCCTTCTAAGAGTCCAGGAGAACAACTTGCCCCAAAATTTGACCTGGCCCAAGAAGTAAAGAAAGAAAGCTTTCATGTTGAGGTGTCTCCCAGATATTTTTGTAGCTTGGGGTGTCCATTAAGAGGTAGATGGCATTGCAATAGGTTTTCTTCCAATACTTGGTAGGGCCCAGTCTAAGGGCAGAAAAAGGGGAGGAGTCCACTGCTCTGCAGAATAATGAGAAGGGCCACCATCTCCGTGGACAGTGTTGGATAAGGTTCTTAGGTGCAAAAATCAGATTCCACGCAAGTTAGCTCAATTAGGAAATTAATTTATTGATTATAAGGATGTAGAATTTTAAATGACAGATAGGAAAATGTTCAACATCGCGGTGGGGGAAAAGAACTTCTTTAATGAAAAGACCTCTGCCATCACTGATTCTCAGAGCTAGATTCCAGAAATTCTACCAACGATACCCACAAGGAGAGCAGTGATGGCGGGGTGGGGGATGAAGGTGAGGACGCAGTGAGGATGAGGGTTAGGGTTAGAATACTTGCTTCAAATCCCAGGCCTTGCAGTCACTCCAGTCATGAGGAATGTGCTCCTGCATTCCTTCCTTCCTTCCTCAAATATTTATGGACCGTCTCCTTTGTGCCAGGAACCATGCTAAGCGCTAGGGATAAAGGGAAGACTTTCTCTCATGGCGCTTAGAGCCGACTGGATGAGACAGAGCTAAAGCAAGTAGACCCATGGGGGGAAGGAAAGAGGCAGGGTTCTGCTGAGGAGGGTAGGGTTGAGAAGGAAGCCGGGGAGGCTGAACTGTTTCAGAAGCAGCCACAGCCCAGCCCTGCGTGGGTCCTCCTTGGACTTCAGCGTGTTGGGGGAGCACGGTTCACAGGTCCTCTGCAAAAAGAAAGGGGCTGGCTGAATGACATCTCTGAAGCCCCAGACTTGGACACGGTACACTCTGTTGGGTCCTAGACCATCCCAGAAATGAGCAACCACAGTCCTCCCAGGACCAGGATGACCAACAAGAAGGAAGTGAGTTTTCCAAGCCTAGGTGGGGAGCTCAGGAGCTCTGCAGACCTGCTCTGTAGGGTGGCTGACTCAGTGTTCCCATCTGAAAAAGGGGAGCATGTGAGGAGGCTCAGATTCTCATGATGGGGCTTCTAGGGTGACCTTCTGCCAAGCTGGCCCGTGGAGGATGTGCTCAGTGTGTGGTTTCACAGGACACTGAGCCACTTGTCCTGGGAGGCAGCGAGGAGGAAAGACACTGTGCAGCTGTGAATGGTGGGTGGCCCCCTGAGCCCCTCCTCTTTCCCCAGCCCTTCCCCTCCCACCCTGCCTGCCCCTGTCTTACTCTAGGGCCTTCCAGCACCACCACAGGTCCTCATGCAGTCCTCTGATGTCAAGAAGTTGTTTTGCATGGCACCACACCCGCCATATATGAAGGTCTTGCAGAGCCTGGAGCTGGCGTTGTAGAAGTACCTGATAAAGATGGCCTCGCAGAGACCCTTGTAGGGAGGCTCCAGGCAGAAGGCAGGCGGTGGGTCTGCAAGGATGGGAGGGACTCTAGGTCAGTTATGAGGATGGTCATCAAAGCTTGGTCTATAAGGTCAACAACAGCAACACCCAGCTTGTTTGCAATAGCGAATGTTGGGGTGCAGGGGTGTGAAATGTGAAAAGGCCAGTCGAGGGCCTGTGCTCCAACACGTTACTATTAATGTGGTGGTGTGACCACGATATGGTAATCATCTTAAAAAATTATATCTTCTGGGCTTCCCTGGTGGCGCAGTTGTTGAGAGTCCGCCTGCCGATGCAGGGGACACGGGTTCGTGCCCCAGTCCGGGAAGATCCCACATGGCCGCTGAGCCTGAGCGTCCGGAGCCTGTGCTCCGCAATGGGAGAGGCCACGGCAGTGAGAGGCCCGCGTACAGCAAAAAAAAAATAAAAAATTATATCTTCCTCATGAAGTATTTATGGATTAATTGCCATAATACCTTAGATTAGTTTTGAAAGAGTCTACAAAGAAAAGAGGACCCACATCAATAATATTCTCCACATGTTGATAATTGTTGAAGCTGGATGATGGGTAAATGGGGTTTATAATACTATTCTCTGTGCTTAATGGAATGGTTGAAAGTTTCCACTATTAAAAAAAAAATAAGTGTGAAGAGAATCCCCTGGTGGTCCAGTGGTTAGGACTCCGTTTTTCCACTGCAGGGGGCCCAGGTTCAATCCCCGGTCAGGGAACTAAGATCCCACAAGCTGAGTGGTGCAGCCAAAAAAAAAAAAAAAAAGTGTGAAGGAATCACGATGTAACAGAGAAAGGCATGAAAGAAAACACAACGGTGTGTTGGCTTTGGTTACCTCATAGGGACTGGAATAATGGCATATTGAGGGAATATTGATATTGTGACTTATAATAAATATATATTTGTCCTTCATCCCATTTCTGGTAACAGACTCCTAAAACCCCTGGAATTGCCAAAGTGAAGAGAGCTATAAGTTGTCTTTTGTTGTGGGACGGAGGTGACTGACTATTGGGAAGCCCCTAGTAACCCGAGGATGGGCGCTGGTTGCCACAGGAGCTAACTGCCTGACCAGAGGGTTGGAACTTACATTCCCACCCTCCGCTATGGCCTCCCCCAGCCCCGCTCAGGGAGGGGAAAGGGGCTGGAGGTTGAACAATCACCAGAGGCCAATGATTTAATGAATCATGACTAGGTAGTAAAACCTGCATAAAACCCTCAACAGACCAAGGCATTCATGTTATTCAGAAGAATTGGCATCGACCCAGGGAACAACATAGGTACACACTCCATCATGGCTCACCTGCACCCCTGCAGCAGCCTGCCCATGGGCTTCTGTCTCTGCCCTTTGCCCCCTAGAGGCCACTCTCCACACTGCAGTCGCAGGGACCCTGTTACAACTTGAATCCTATCCCATTGCTCCCATGACCAAGCCCTCATCTCTCTCAGTCAAATTCTGACTCTTATCTTACACGACCTGCCCCATGGCCCCTCTGCCTCATCCCCTTCCGCTCCCCACCTGCCCCCCACTCAGCTCCAGCCACCCTGGTCCCGGCTGCTGCTCAAACACACCAGGCACGTTTTACTGAAGCCTCTGCTCCAGCACCTGCTTATCATAGAAGGTTTGCCGACCAGTCTGTGGAAAGAGCACAGCCTCCTTTATCCCCATCACTCTCTTTCTTCAAAATATTCATCACGACCTGGCATATTAGGTTCCCCTTTCTCTGTGATCTGTCTCCCTCTTAGGAGGCAAGTTAGTTTGCTATTTTGTGTACAGCTGTTTCCCCACATCAAGAACTATGCTTGTAAGGACTTGAGAAATATTGTTAATGGAATTGACCTCCCATTTCATGCTCATGCTAAGTGTATGTTCATTGAATAGAATGGATATCACTGAATTGCTGTTAGTGAAAAGTCTGTTTAATGATGAGGCAAGTCTATATAACTATGAATCGAGCTCTAACATTCTATATTTTGAGAGGATAGTAAAGTGATAGACAGGGGGGCAAGGGGAAGGGCGTTGAGTTTTGAGTAATATTGTTCCAGCCTGGAAAAAAAAACAGCCTTGGGCCCACGAACAAACTCACAGCAGTGCTAGATTTCTTGCCCTCCCTGTAGTTGCCTCAGGCAGAGCAGAAGCTCAGCTGCCCCACACTTTTCTGATGAATTTTAATAATAGAGAAATAATCATTATTTGACACCTAAATATTTTGGGCTGGGACGGGAAAGAAAAGTAGACTAAGTCTTCCAGATAAATACATCTTGGGGGAAAATGGACATCATTGGTTATGAAATTCATGATTGGTTGGTTATCCCTTCAGAGAACCTGTGCAACAGGTGTCCCCAGTCAGGTGAGGAAACCACAGACGACTTGCCCCAGCACACACAGCACGTAAGTATTTAGGTCACCACGATACTATCATGTCACAACCCATTTGATAAACTACCTGATTCTGCCAGGAATTCTGAAAATACAGATAACTGGTAAGAGTTTCTGGGAGCACTGACGCATACTAAACACAACCCTGCCCCCGAGCCACAGTCACCAAATTAAAGGGGAGAGTGACTCCGGGTTTTGTCCCTGAGAGCAAATATGTGGTGTCCCTACTGACACCAACCAATTCTGCAACGCCAACTGGGCGTCCCACGAGTCAGTTCACTTCTGACACTAAAACCTCAGAGCCAGTGCAGATTCAACAATATGAGGGCTCAGTCCCACATTTCAAATGCTAGTCACAAGTCCCGGGGTCACCCATACGTGTGACAAACTTGCTATAAATTCGGAGGTTCCATGACCCCACTTCCCATTTTCAGTAATTCATTAGAACCACCCACAGGACTCAGGGAAGCCCCTTACTTACTGCTCCCAGTTTATTACAAAGGTTGAAGCTCAGGTTGAATGGAGGAGACGCATAGGGCAAAGGGGGGTTGAGGGGTGCAAAGCCTCCATGCCCTCTCAGGACACTCTCCCCTCACATCACCTTGAATGTTCACCACTCTGGACGTTCTCCAAAACCCCAAAGTTTAGGGGTTTTTATTGAGGTTTCAATAGGTCAGCAAATTGATTGATCATTGGTCACTCATGATTGAACTCAGCCTCAGTACTTACCCTCTCCTCTCCCCAGAAGTACTACAGGTTGAAAGTTCTAATTCTCTAATCACGTGATGAGACTTCTTGGAGACCGGCCCCATCCTTAAGTTATCCTGGGTCCCCTTCCTTGACTCATCGCATTACCATACAGAAGACAGTAAATTCCAAGGGTTGCAGGACATCTGGGCCAGGAACCAGGACAAGGATCAAATATGGATCTTTTCATTACACTACAGTGAGGTTCAGGGACAGGCAGTGACCAGGAACAGAGAGTCTCAGAGATAGAGTCCCTGGTCTGGTACGGTTTGGTGGGTTCCTTTTTTAAAAAGCTGAAACATAATGATTCCTATTGAGAGTCATGAAATGTCCCTGGAGTTAAAACTGCCCAACTTCCCAGGAGAAATCCAGAGAGGCTGTCAGCACCAACCCCACCCCTGCTCCCCAGCCCCTCCCATGGACTCGCCTCATTCCCACTCCACCCCACCCCCCAGCCCAGCCTGTGGAGGAGAGGTAAGCCGGGACTTACCTCTGGCATGGCTCTTCTGTTCACACCCTGGGGTGCAGACCACCAGGAGGACGAGAAGGGAGATGGAGAGGCAGAGCCGGCTCATGCTTGTGGCCTTGCAGGACGGCTTCTGAGGAAAGCTGGGGGCTGACAGAGCTTTTCATATCCCAGCTGAGGGGTGGGACAGGCAGTGAGGAAGGGGTGGAGCTGGGCTGGGTCCTGTTTATTGCGTAATCTCCCCACCTAACCTGCTTCTGCCTGCTGGGGCCAAATGCCCAGTAACAGCGCTTCTCAGACTTGACTCTGCCTGTGGGTCTCATGGAAACACAGACTGTGATTCCACACATGGAATTTTGTCCAATATGTTGACTCAGGGAGCGTCCCAGCACCTAGAGCAGTGCATGGCAGGTGATGGCCGGTCAGTGGGTGGATGAGAGCAAATCAAAGGACAGATAAGTGAATGGGAGTGTGTTAGCTCAGGTCCTCCTTTTCAGCCTCCTGCTGATGTCATCGCATCTGGGCATCAATGCCTTTCACCCCCCACCCCAAATTCACTAACCTCAGAAGACAGGTGTGGTACAGAACACCTTCCTGCAACCATTGCCACAGCTTCTCAGCGGGATGGAACTTGCTCTCTACCTGGCACTGGTCCAAGCAGAAGCTGAGCGGGGGATGGGGGGGTGGGGGGGTCGGGGGCGGGGAGGCAATGTTCTCCTGGGAGACAAACCCTGATTTTCTGGGTAGAAAAAAGAGTAAGGGGCGTGGGCAGAGGGGAAGAAGGGAACTGAACACGTCTCCACAGCATGACCACTTACCACCCCTCACCTGGTTACACCAACAGGAGAGCTGCCTGCTTGAGCAGACCTCAGGGGCTGGAGTGATCTGCGGGAGGCTGGAAAGATCGCCTGCAACATCTCCCGTTCTCGGGTCTCTCCACCTGTGGTTTTGGGGTCAGAGGATGTCAATTTGCATCCCAGCTCTCCCTTTCCCTAACTTTGTGACCTGTGGCCAGAAATCTCCCACAGCCCTGTGTCGTCAGGTGTCATCTGAGAACCATGCTGCCCACGTCGTGGGGTTGCTATGGAAGCAGTGGAGTCAACAGACATATATTCCTTCTCCCTGCAAAGTCAGTCCTTGTAATAAGAATAATAGGGATTTCCCTGGGCGCAGTGGTTAAGAATCCGCCTGCCAATGCAGAGGACACGGATACGAGCCCTGGTCTGGACTTGAACATGCCACGGAGCAACTAAGCTCGTACACCACAACTATTGAGCCTGCGTGCTGCAACTACTGAAGCCTGCACGCCTAGAGCCCATGCTCTGTAACAAGAGAAGCCACCGCAATGAGAAGCCTGCGTGCAGCAACGAAGACCCAACACAGCTGAAAATTAATTAATTATTTAAAAAAAAAAAAATGAGTAATGACAGCAGTAAACACTTAGCTCCTTCCATGTGCCAGGCATTACCCTAAGCATTTAACTCATCTAATCCTCACGATAATCCTAAAAGAGGGTGAGGAAATCTTAATATTTCCTAACAATACAGAGGAGAAAATTGAGGCAACAGGAAATCTGTAATTTGCCCAAGGTCATGCTGGGTAGGAACAGGACCTGAACCCAGGAAACCAGCTTCAGAGTCCGCGGACCATGCACTCGGCTGCTTTGTAAGGTATAAAGTGCAGGCACGTGTGAAGGCTTACATACCCTCCCCTCTTCACTTGTCCCATCTATTCACTCCCAATTACAGCCATGTACAGCAAGGCCCCCCCGTACACACTCACTCATCCACACACAGACAAGCATCCTCCCACTGACACACACACACACACACTAACAGCTAACACTGCCGAGATGTGCTGATTACAATCCCCTCTGTGTAAATCTTTTATCTCCTTTAATGATCACATCAATCTCTCCTCTCTAGGGTATATTTCTACCTTACCACCTATCACAGAGGAGAAAAAATGCAGCACAGAGAGGTGAAGGCATCACCCATCACCAAACTGCTGATCAGCAGTAAAAACAAGACCACAGCCCAGCAATCACACACACACACACACACACACACACACACACACACACACACGCACACGCGCGCACACACACACACACACACCCCCTGTGCTCCACTTCCAGAGTCAAGGAGAAGGGAGCTGGGCTCAATGCCCAGAAGCCCCAGAAGCAAGCCCAGCCAAGTGTCAAACGGGCACACAGCTGGGTAATGAGCTGCAGAGGGCGGGACGGGTTTGTGGCTGGCCCTTGAAGTGGGGCAGTTTTGTGGCACAGAGTCTTCCGCCTGTGAGCTCTAGTCTAACTCTGGGGATTTAATGTCAGAAGGGAATCGACTTGGGGGATGCCCAGTGGGTGTCGGAGAGTTGGTTGGTGTTGGTAGGGATACCATGGATTTGGTGTCTGGGGGAAAAAAACCCAGACCCACTCGTCGCTGGGCTTTGGTGGCTGAGATGCGGCTTCGGGACAGGGGAGTAATGAGTGTGGGGCAGTGCATCCAGAAACTATTACCCATTATCTGCATTTGAACAATTCCCTGCAGATGTCAGGTGCTTCACTGACTGGATTTTGACAGAATAGTATTTTGACTTGAACTTACCACTCACCACGAAGTGACAAGAGGCCACTCACGTATCTGCAGTTTCCCCATGTAGACAGGTGACACCTGCCACGCAGGTTCTAGGAAGGGATTACCCATCGTCACATAAAGAGTTTTTTCATATTCCACGGCCGATGCTATCCATTTCCAGCATGATGTCTTAGTCTAGGGAGTTCACTGGTGGCACAGTGGTTATGAATCTGCCTGCCAGGGTCCAAGGATGGCACAGGGCCACCCACACCTTACCCGCACCGAAACAGGCCTGGCTCTACCCGAAGGCCCTGTCTGGGTCACACCCTGAAGCCACCCTTGGCCTGCCACCTGTGAAACAAGAGCCACCTGACCCGGAGGAAGACAAGGATGACTGCACCTCTGACTTGGCCCCAGACGAGGAGGTAGGAGGGGCTGGCACGCCCGTGATCATGGAGATTTTCAGCCTGGGTGGAACCCGCCTCCGGGACACAGCAGTATGGTTGCCAAGGACAGGCAATTGGAAAGGGAAGACGGATGTAAAGAGTGGGAGACCGAGGACACACTGGCACCCATGAGTACAAGCTGGAAACCACGCGGATGGCCCAGAACCCATGTCAGCCTCTCACCACCCCTAACTTCGATGATGTGGGTTTCCTGCAGAAGAAGCTGGTGCCCTTCATCACAGAGTTAAATACGCATCTGGGCCAGGAATTAGAGAAGCCGAAGGAAGATCCTGGGGAAGGTGGAGCAGCTGCAGGCCTGACTGCTGCCCCACACCAACGAGGTGAGCCAGCAGATAAATGACATGTATGAACTGCAACAGTGCCCGGTGCCCCTGCACCAACCTTCCGAGTACACTGCTTCTTCACTTCTGCCCTCCAGTTATCACGCAAAATGTCTCTTGTGGCCCATCCTAACCGGAAGCGTACGAGGAAGGGAGTACTGGGAAACGTAGCCTAGTCAAGGTGACACGTTACAAAGCCACCCTGCCATGAATCAGCTCCCAAGGGTCTCACTACTCACCTGAGGATAACTTGATAAAACTACATTGCTGAAAATGCAAAGCTGATGACCATGGAGTTCATGGTGACCCCAGCAAGTACGGAAATTCTGTCAAGCCCACCCAGAAAACACTTGCTGGTCTCGGCTATTTATGTGTCATTCAAGTAGTGAGAACCTGGCCCATGGTAGGCACTGTACTTAACGCTGGGATTCAGGAATGAAAAAGATATAGTCCGTGCCGTTCTATTAAATACATCAGTATGTATTTAAAAACAGTGAATGGATTTCCAACTTTATTGTGGAATTTAATGGTGAAAATACAGAATTCAGGAAACTGTTGGGAGGACAGCCCTTGCATGAACCTTGCTGAGGTACAATAGGCATTGGAAAATACATAAATAGTTTCTATCTCTATGCTGTTCTATTTTTAAATTATGTTTAAACGAAAAAAAAAAAGAATCTGCCTGCCAATGCAGGCAACATAGGTTTGAGTCCTGGTCTGGGAAGATCCCACATGCCGCGGAGCAACTAAGCCCGTGCGCCACAACTACTGAGCCTCTGCTCTAGAGCCCACGAGCCACAACTACTGAGCCCACATGCCACAACTACTGAAGCCCGCATGCCTCGAACCTGTGCTCTGCAACAAGAAGCCACCGCAATGAGAAGCCTGCGCACCGTAACAAAGAATAACCCCCACTCGCCGCAACTAGAGAAAGCCCACATGCAGCAATGCAGCCAAAAATAAATTAATTAATTAAAAAATAAAAAATAGAGAGGGCAGACAGCAGAAGCAAGATGAACAGTTCTACAGCCTGTGGAACAAAAACCACATTCACAGAAAGATAGACAAAATGAAAAGGCAGAGGACTATGTACCAGATGAAGGAACAAGGTAAAATCCCAGAAAAACAACTAAAGGAAGTGGACATAGGCAACCTTCCAGAAAAAGAATTCAGAATAATGATAGTGAAGATGACCCAGGATCTTGGAAAAAGAATGGAGGCAAAGATCAAGAAGATGCAAGAAATGTTTAACAAAGACCTAGAAGTTCAAACAAAATGAACAATACAATAACTGAAATGAAAACTACACTAGAAGGAATCAATAGCAGAATAACTGAGGCAGAAGAACGGATAAGTGACCTGGAAGACAGAATGGTGGAATTCACTGCCATGGAATAGAATAAAGAAAAAAGAATGAAAAAAAATGAAGACAGCCTAAGAGACCTCTGGGACAACATTAAACACACCAACATTAACGTTACAGGGGTGCCAGGAGGAGAAGAGAGAGAGAAAGGACCTGAGAAAATATTTGAAGAGATTATAGTTGAAAACTTCCCTAACATGGGAAAGGAAATAGCCACCCAAGTCCAGGAAGCACAGAGAGTCCCAGGCAGGATAAACCCAAGGAGAAACATGCCAAGGCACACAGTAATCAAACTGACAAAAATTAAAGACAAAGAAAAATTATTAAAAGCAACAAGGGAAAAATGACAACATACAGGGGA